TGCTTTCCGGCCCAACCCACACCAACCCAAACACAATCCCAAATACCAACCTCATCACCAGCCACCAAAACACAACAACCCTAAACACGAACCCGAAACACTTTCACCCAGCCCGAACCACCACTAACACCTTCAAACACACCGGAGAAATTAGGCGGTTGTCGGAAAAGGAGCTGCAACAGAAGCGAGAATAGGGCATGTGTTTCCGTTGTGATGAAAAGTGGACAATGAACCACCGTTGCAACCGTCGCGGACTGAGCGTGTTGCTCATGGAAGACGAGGAGGACGGGGATGATGCCGGAGATTTTTCTATGGTAGAAACAAACGCAGATGGGCTCGTACCACCTCCACCAGATCTGATTTCCCCACCGGAGGTATCTCCGAGCTCCGTTATGGGCTTGACTAGCCCTACAACAATGCGTCTGGCTGGTGTGGTGAATGAAAGCTTTGTGGTGGTGATCATTGACCTCGGGGAAACTCATAATTTCATCTCGAGTGTGGCGGCTTAGAAATTGGGTCTAAACCCCATAAAATCCAGAAGTTTTGGGGTTACTCTTGGCACTGGAGAAGCGGTGCAAGAGGAAGGGGTGTGTAAGGGCGTCTTGCTGAACCTTCAAGGAGTCTCGATTGTAGAGGACTTCCTCATCCTTCCTTTAGGGAGCTCAGACATGATTTTGGGCATCCAATGGTTGGAGAAGCTTGGCACAATCACAACCAATTGGAAAACACAAACACTGAAATTCCAATTGAATGGTAACACGGTTACCTTGAAGGGTGACCCCCATTTGGGGCGGACCGGTATCTCCCTGAAGGCAATGTTCAAAAATTTGCAGAAGGAAGGTTTTGGTTATTTACTCGAACTGAATCATTTAGAGAAAGCAGGAGAAACAGAACCGAAAATCCCTACAGCCTTCATACTTCTAATACAGGAATTTCAGCAGGTCTTTCACATGCCAGATGGATGACCTCCTCAGAGACAGATTGAGCACGCCATTGTGTTACGAAGTGGTGTCAATCCGATTAGTGTCAGGTCGTATAGATATCCACAACCCAGAAGGACGAAATTGAACGGCTGGTTTCGGATATGCTTAGTGTAGGGATAATTAAGACCTCGACAAGTTCTTATTCCAGTCCGGTTTTGTTGGTGAAGAAGAAGGACGGGTCATGGCGTTTTTGCGTTGATTACAGGGCCCTTAACAAGGAAACAGTCCCTGATAAATTTCCGATACCCATCATCGATGAATTACTGGATGAATTGGGTGGTTCGGCGATTTTCACAAAACTTAATCTCAAATCTGGTTACCACCAGATCCGGGTAAAGCCCGAGGATGTGCATAAGACAGATTTTCGAACCCATGAGGGTCACTACGAGTTCCTCGTAATGCCCTTTAGGCTAACCAACGCTCCTGCCACTTTTCAGTCCCTTATGAATGATGTTTTCCGGCCATTCTTGCGGAAGTTTGTATTAGTGTTCTTCGACGACATCTTGGTATATAGTCCTTGTGTTGAAATGCATACGGTTCACCTACAACACGTTTTGCAAATTATAGCTGACCATCGACTATTTGCCAATTTTAAGAAGTGTGAAATCGGGAAGGAACGGGTGGCTTACCTGGGGCATGTGATCTCAGCAGCTAGGGTGGAAGTTGACTCTTCCAAAGTGTAGGCTATGTTAGATTGGCCTCCCCAGACGAACCTAAAGCAGCTCAGGGGGTTCCTAGGCCTCACAGGTTACTATCGCAAGTTCATCAAAGGGTATGCTCAGATTGCCCTTCCCTTGACTGACCAATTGCGCAAGGAAAGTTTTGGGTGGACCGAGGTTGCCACTTCAGCCTTCAACGCATTAAAGGCTTCCATGGTGAATGCTCCTATCCTAGCTGCACCAGATTTTTCTCTACCTTTCGTGGTTGAAACAGACGCTTCAGGGCATGGCTTAGGGGCTGTCCTGCTACAAGCAGAGCACCCTATTGCATATTACAGCAAGGTCTTGGGAATCAGAAATAAGGAAAATCCTATATACGAGAAAGAGCTTATGAAAATTGTGTTTGCAGTGGAGAAGTGGAGACAGTATTTGCTGGGCCGTCATTTCAGTGTTCGCACTGATCAGCGAAGCCTTAACTATTTGCTGGAACAAAGGGAGGTGGAACAGGCATATCAAAAGTGGATTAGCAAGTTGATGGGGTATGCTTTCGAAATTCACTACAAGCCGGGTCCTACTAACAAAGTGGCAGATGCGCTATCCCGCCAACATAGTCCTGAGTATGAGTGTGGGACTATGGTGACTTCTTGTGGACTTCGTTAGGATTATGTATGGGCCTATGTAGAAAAGGATGTAGCTCTCCAACTCTTGATTTCGCAACTACAAAATGGGGAGGCAGCACCGAAATGGTTCACTTTGGAAAATGGGGTCTTAAAGTATAAAGGGGAGGATAGTAATTCCAAAGCGTTGTGAGCTGACCTCCAAGCTGCTCAAGGAATATCATGACTCCTTGATGGGTGGGCATGTTGGTGACCTCAAGACTTACCACCGTTTGGCAGGAGAATGGTTCTGGTTCGGGATGAGAAAAGATGTGACAAAATATGTCCAGCACTGTCACGTGTGTCAGCAGAACAAGCATTCCACCTTGTCTCCTTTGGGTCTTCTCCAAAATTTGCCAATTCCGGAAAGGGTTTGGGAGGACATATCTATGGATTTTGTAGAAGGTTTGTCAAAGTCATTAGGCTGGGACACCATACTCTTGGTAGTGGATCGTTTAACCAAGTATGGGCACTTCATTCCGCTCAAACACCCTTTTACTGCTTAGAGTGTAGCGCAACATTTCATGGCTGAGGTAGTAAAGTTACATGGTATACCAAGCTCCATCATATCAGACCGAGACAAAGTCTTCCTTAGCATTTTCTGGACGGAATTGTTCAAGCTTCAGGGAACTCAGCTTATGCGCAGCATAGCCTACCACCCCCAAACAGACTACCAAACTGAGGTTGTCAACAAGGGGTAGAATCCTGTTTGAGATGCTTTGTGAATGGCAAACCGCATACGTGGTACGCTGGTTACCTTGGGCAGAGTATTGGTACAATACATCATTCCATACCGCCACAAACTACACCCCTTTCAAGGCTCTTTATGGCAAGGACCCTCCTTATTTGATTAGGTTCTCTGCTAGCAGCACATCTATGGCTTCAGTGGAAGCACAATTGCAGGAACGCGATGCTACACTTGATGACTTGAAGTTTCATTTGGTACATGATTAGGTATATTTGCGACATTATGAGAACAAAGGAAGACGAGAGGGAGGATTTCAAGTGGGTGATCTGGTTTACCTGAAATTACAGCCATATAGGCAAAAATCCCTGGTGAGACGGTCAAATGATAAGCTATTATTTAGAAATAATCAAAAGGTCGACTTGTTTTTAGCGATAATCAAAAAGTCGATTTATTTTTAGCGGACGGGTGAAAGGTGGTATTATTTAAAGCAATTTTTCCTAAAATAAAAATACAAAATCAATTTTACTCTTAAATGAAAGATAAAATAAAATCAGTTTTCAAAATAAGATATATTTTGTAAGTAAATAAATGATAAATAATTGTTTAATTAAAAGATAAGTTTGTTATTTTTAATTAAATAATTATTTAAAATTTTTATCTTTTAAAACAATAAAATCTTTTTAACTAGTTTTATTTTGACCAAGTAAAAGTTGGTTATCTAATTTTAAGGAGGCACGTTGAAAGCTTGAAAGTAAAGTCATGGAGATCTTACTTCCCACTCTCTGATCAATGTTCTTTAACTTCCAAGGTTAAGGTGAATGTGGATCATGGGAGTAGTGGGAAAAGGCTTTTCATCTCTCTATAAATGGCTTGCAACGGACTCTGATTTGTGTGTGGAAAAAACATTCAGTTTTTAGAGCTTAAGTTTTCAAAAGTTATTTACTGTCTAGAGCTGAGTTCCTTCTCTTAATTTTCACTAGTGCATTAGGAAAGTCTTGTAATTACTTATGTAATTGAGATTGAGATTTGAAATAATTGTAACTGAGAGACTTGAGTGAGTATGTTACAAAGTTGTAAGTGATTCAGAGTCGAATCACTAAGAGAGTTAAGCTGCGGTAGAGGGACCGTAACTGGATAACTTGAGTTCCTAGAGGAACTTAAGTGTAGGTTGAATCTTCACATTTGTAAAAGAGTTTTTGCAAAGTGAAATAATTCGAAAAGTCTATCTCGTCTGTTCTCTCTTTTAATACTTTGTTTAATTCCGCATAAGGTTCACTATTTTTTTTTTGTCTACAATTAACCCCCCTCTTGTAGTAATCGAACTAACACACATCGATATTAAAGCTCTCTCTAAATAACAATGGGTTTTCCTCAAATTTTCTCTCTCTAAACAACAATGACATTCTGCAACAAAGGAGGTGAAAATATGAGTGGGATTAAAGGAAGGATAGAAGTGAAATATATATTGCTACTGCCGAAAAATAATACCAAGTATAGATTAATGATTTTGTATCATGTAGTCACAACTCACAAGTCTGATCTTTTCCGCAAGAATTGCAATGTGTAATTTATCTAATGATTTTAACCAGTACAAATATATGCACCTTCAGCTTTATAATTATGCACATTCACTTAAAAATTTATACACATTCATTTTGAAATTCATGCACGTTGATTATAGAGCAATATGCACAAATGATTACAAAATATACACATTTTCTCAAAAAAATATGCACATTTACTTACAAAAATATACACATAGAATTAAAATATTTGTACATCAACCACAGCAATTGGATTAAAATAAAAGGTCAAGATTCCTTTTCATCCTTCTCATTTGACCCTAAAACTATATATACATTCCCTCTTCTTGTTACCCTGCCAATCAAGTTAGATAAGTTGCTCGAGTCACTACTAAAATTAACTGTAATTTCATTGATTTATACTTCAAGAAATATTCAAATGACTAATGCAGAGAGATGTAGATATACGAATTAGTTACTCTTTCCAATAGTGAAGCCATAATAAAACATATTCCGCGCATCATTCTTAACAAGAATGATTAACATATACGTAAATATTCAATTTTTTGTTCAATACAAAGTCAGTGAATGCATGGAGGATAATTTAGAAACCGAATCACAATAATTTTTTTAAAAATGCAACATCTAAACAGCTACCAAAATTTCCAGGCAAAATTGCCTCAATGCTTTGCACGAGAGAAATGGTTGTCATTGGGATTTCTTTTACCGCTGAACACTGCCAATGCTTGTCTCACAGGAGGCCTGTTATAAGCTTTCTTATCAGTGTGATGAGTCTGATGACCAAAGACGCTATCCCCAGCAAATATATCATCATCCTACATAATATTTGAAATAACAGTGTTAATTAAAGATTAAATTACATGAAACAAAGAGCAAAAGGGAGAAAGTAACCTTAGACTTTTTCTTTGTCCTGGGGTATAAGAACTTCTGTGGGATCTGATCTTCCCGTAATATGGGATTCTTAGTCATGGAATCTCTTCCTCCTTGGGGCAAAGGGAGTGAAAACTTCAAAAAAATGAAGAGTTAGCCAACAGGATGGGCAAATTTATCTGAAGATAAACATTACTATCTATAGCATACACCAGCCATTTGCTGAGGAGCCTAGGTAATAAGGTCCTCAACTTATGACAAAATAGGCAAACTAGAAAGGGAATCACTGAACAAAAGCAACAATTAAAGTAGATGTCAATACTAATAAATAAATTGATTAGCGCCTCATAACAGTCATGCACTAGCAAGAACAAATGCACAAGTACTGCCTAGAGGCTAGACCTCAAGACTTACGATAAGAGCAAGACATATAAGAAACTGTACCTTTGTGCCACGCAAGGAGTAACGATGCCTTCGAGCTTGTAGCACAACCCCATTCTCGCCTACTGTAACAGCCACTTTCTTTAAGGTACCACCATTGCCACACTTTGGACAGAAGATTCGACCAACTTCAGCGGTTACATGCTGGCAGGCATGACATTTTAGTACCCACCTAGACAATTACCCCAATATCAGAACTTCTGACAGTCGTTAAAAAATCACTATGAACAACACTACAAGGGATTAAAACTCATTCAAGTATGAAGGTTGCCCACCCCACCCATACTGACAAAATTATTAGCAGGTGATAGTGCTGATAGTTGGTGTTTGACCATTCCTCCAGCAGGACAATGTACATATGTTATAATCAAGTCTCATTAAAACTTCAGATTGTGTTGCTATATTATGTGACTATTAAGTACCCTAAGTGGGAACATGGAGATGTTATTAAGGAGTTACATTACCTGTGCAACTCACGTATCTGCATTCCTCCAGGGGCTAGCAAACGTAAACCCATCTGAAGAATAACATTTTGCATAGCAAAGTCTCCAGTGATACAAGCAACACTTGAATCAGATAAAGACCTAAGCATCCAACTCTGTTCACTTCCATCATCCTCTGCATATGAGGTATCAACACTTCCATTCTCCACATGGTCTAATATTTCATTGTCATCCACTTCACCCCCGGAATGAGCATTTACTGAGTGACCATCTACCGATTGAACTTCCATATGAGAATCAATTTGCTCATTCTGTTCTTCATGAGTTTCCAAAGCATCTTCTTCAAGTCCCATCTGTTCCAAAATTGATGAAATATCATCAGTACCATTTGTCCCACGAGTGTCCTTATTATCATCTTCCTCTTCAGTATTTTTATTGACTTCCTGCTGCTCATCATCTTTAAAAGATACCTCGTACATATCACGTCGAGCCTTTCTTCTGAGGAACCTTCTATGGGTGCCTCGACTGACAGCAGGACGCCAATCACCATCATCATCATCATGTTGTCCTTGAGATGCATCAATCCCATCAGCCACCATTTTTTTCCCATCAATTTTTACCTCCCTCTTTTTGGGCGGGTATCTTCTGTGTCTCCTTGCAGTCAGGCCAGCACCATCTTGATCTTCACTACCGTTTCCAACAGAGCCATCTTTCAAACTCATTTGATCCTCAACAGGGATATTTAACGTTATATCCTTCAATGGGAGAATTTTAGAATAAGGATCTGGACCACTGTCTGTTGCACCTTCCAATGCTTCCCACTCCTCAAGATTAGGAACATTGGAACCCCAACCAGGCAAGTCCTTCTCAGGCAATCTCCGTACGTTCAAAACATGAATAGGGGGAGGGCTGTCTCTAAGATGACTAGTACCATGAATTTGAGCCTCCAATGTGTAAGTTAGAGCAATGAGCTTAAGATCAACATCAGAGAGAGTCTGCAAATCACCAGTTGCTCTAGCAAAGCTGACAACTGTCAATAATCCATAGACACAGGTCAAATTGCATGCTAATTATAGTAAAACAAAACGAATTCTCCATACCCTCAATACAATGTATCAAACACATACAGTACAAATATAATGAATTTTCTGATAAGTGCCTCCATAATTGAGTTGTCCTAATACTTCATATAATTCATAAAATACTGACACCTGACATTTAATACTCAGGAAAAAATAGTCCTCGTACTACAGAAAACAATTACCATAATATTTTCAGTAGCTCGAATTCTTTAATTGATAACATGTAACTGATTGTTTTAGCGGCAATACAAACTATATGGACTAATCACTTTAGCTTAATACAGATTCATTAAATGACTACCCTATGGCCTATCTTGCCCAATAAACAGCAATCGAGCAAGCATAGATTTAACAAGTAGCAAATCCTCCATTTCATGAAACCAACAACAAGAAGGCGAGAAGTATGCCAAAAGGCTCTTACACAAGTATACTAATTAATTTGAGAAGTTCTCATACTCGAGAAAATACATACTAGTTCATAAACTACAAGCATAAGACATAACAATAAACACAAACGACAACCCCCATCAATTTTTGGCAGCTATTACTAGTTTACTACCATAAATCAATAATCTCCAATATCTAAGGTCTTACTATTGTCAAGACTTATTCATCACCTTAAACCATCCAAACACATATTCCAATGAACCGAGCAATTAGCAAGATACAAACTTTTTCAAGACTTTTGCTAGCCGGTAACTTAAACGCAGTACAAACATCAAAACAATTCAACAGCACAATCATAAAATACCCAATTGAAATTCAGCTCAATCAATCAATAATAACACAAAATAACCCAAATTGGACAAATTCACAAATTCAACAATCAAATTGAAACCAAAAACAAAAGAGAGAAAGAGAAAGGGACCTTTTTTGAGAGATTCAGGGGAGGGTTCCAAGGTATCAACAGTAAAAGGCAAAAAAGAAAGACGATGACGAGAAGTGGGGTCACGAATTTCATTGATAACTTCAGAAACAGACACAAATTTGTCAGCCAAAGAAGGGAGTCTCTCTCCTCCTTGAATGATGGCGTTGGCATCAACAATGGCAACTGCTATGCCTTTGTTTGATTTGCAGGTTTCGAAGAGTTGTGTGGGTGTTTGAGGTTGTAATGGTGGGGTTGGTTCTGGTGTTTGCTTCACTATGTTCGCCCAACATGGTGCGGCTGATTTCGGTGGTGGTGGCGGTGGTGCGACTGATTCCGGCGGTGACTCCATTGCTTAGAGTTGAGGGACGAGAGAAGGAGATGAGAGTGGATGTAACGAGAAAGGGGAGATAAACATAAACCCTAAGTGTCTTTTTATTAGTGGATTAATTTTGAATTTTATTTTATTTTTCACAATTATTAGTGGATTAAAATATTATTACTAATTTACAGTTAAAAATTATTAATCTGTTGTTAAATATTTCAATTCAGTTTAATTCAGCTCAGCTACAATCAGTTCAATTCCGTTTCAGTTAGTTCACTTCAGTTTTACTTTACGAACTGCTTTTGAATCTCAAACTTAACGCCTCTTAAACCGCTTCAATTTTTATTAAGTTTATTTCTCCAAAAAAAAAAAAAAAAAAAAAGTTTATGTTAAGAGGTAACTATGATATTGTATATTTTATGATGATGGAGATGGAAGAGAGCAAAAGAGCAATTAGAGAATGTCGGTTTTTCTTCTTACTCTACTAGTTCACAAGATAGTGAACTTATTTATAGGCAAATATTGCCCATAAAGTATGTTACATAATTGTACTTATATACAAATTATTGTCCTAAATATAGCTCATGTGATGAGCTATAAGCTATTGTGCTCCAAACTCATGTGAACTTCATTTGACATTTTCTTAACACTCCTCCTTGAAGTTCGCATGAAATGGAGTATGGGTTGCTTCAAAGAAAAATATTATATGCTTTGATATACTGCCTCGTTAAAAACCTTGTCAGGAAAAACCCAGTGGGATAAAAACCTGATCGAAGGGAAAAAGAGTGCAGTGCATATAATACTCCTCCTGATTTCAGCATAGATCACGAAGATGTCGCATTCCAATTTTGTGAACCAATTGCTCAAATTTCTTGGAAGGAAGTGATTTGGTGAAAAGGTCGGCAAGATTTTCACAAGACTGAATTTGCTGGATATTTATTTCCTCGTCCTTTTGCAGATCATGTGTGAAGAACAGTTTTGGGGCAATATGTTTCGTTTTATCTCCCTTAATATATCCTTCAGTTACTTGAGCGATACATGCTGTATTGTCTTCAAAGATGATGGTTGGGTCTTCTGTTATTGCGTTCATTCCACACTCCTTTTGGATATTACTGATCATCGACCTCAGCCACACACATTCCCGTCCTGCTTCATAGAGGGCTATCAACTCTGCATGATTTGATGATGTCGCGGTCAATGTCTGCTTTGTTGATTTCCATGATATTGCAGTGCCGCCATAAGTGAATACATATCCATTTTGTGACTTGGCATTTTGAGGATCTGATAAGTATCCAGCGTCTGCATACCCAATGAGAGCAGCATCTTGTTTTGGTTGGTAATATAAACCAAGGTCTTGTGTCCCTCGTAGGTACCGGAGTAAGTGTCGAACTCCCTTCCAATGCCTATATGTTGGTGCATTGCTGTGCCTGGCTAACAAATTCACAGAGAAAGCTATGTCGGGTCTAGTATTGTTAGCTAAGTACATTAAGGCTCCAATTGCACTTAAGTATGGTACTTCTGGACCCAGAATCTCTTCATTTTCTTCTCGGGGTCTGAATGGATCATTTTTCATATTCAAAGAACGAACAACCATTGGGAAGTTGGTTGGGGTTGCTTTGTCCATGAAGAAACGTTTCAAAACCCTTTCTGTATAGTTTGATTGATGGACAAAAATGCCATGACTCAAGTGCTCAATTTGTAGTCTAAGGCAAAATTTAGTTTTCCCAAGGTCTTTCATCTCAAATTCTTTCATCAAGTATTTTGCAGTTTTCTCGAGTTCATTTGGGGTTCCGATGATATTTAAATCATCAACATAAACTGCAATGATAGCGAATCCTGATTGTGATCGCTTTATGAAAACACAGGGACTAACTTGGTTGTTTTTGAATCCTTCTCTCATAAGGTATTCACTCAGACGGTTGTACCACATCCTTCCAGATTGTTTCAATCCATAAAGTGACCTTTTTAGTTTTATGGAAAGCAGTTGTCTAGGCTTGTGGTTTTCTGGTAGTTTTAGTCTTTCGGGGACTTTCATGTAAATGTCCGTATCGAGTGACCCATACAAATACGCAGTCACTACATCCATTAATCGCATTGCAGTCCTTTTGTGACTGTCAAACTTACCAGAAATCTTAATGTAGTTGCATCAACCACTGGAGAATATGTTTCTTCATAATCAATCCCTGGAATTTGAGAAAATCCTTGGGCTACAAGTCTTGCCTTGTATCTAACTATCTCATTTATCTCATTACGTTTTCTCACAAATACCCATTTGTAGCCAACGGGTTTTACACCTGCTGGTGTAAGAGTTATTTTTCCGAAAACTTCTCGTTTTTCAAGTGACTTCAACTCAGCCAGCATTGCCTCCTTCCACTTTGGCCAATCACTCCTGTGTTGGCATTCTTCCACTGTCCTTGGTTCAACATCATTTTCATCAGACACAATGTCGATTGCGATGGAATTTGCAAATATTTCATCCACGATAACATCTTTCCTATTCCAATGAGTCTTGGTAGAGACGTAATTCATTGAAATTTCATTGTTATCGACGTTTTGAACGTCTTGTTCATTTCCCGTAGGGTTTTCTTCTTGTTCGTCCCCTTTTGGATTATCATCATTTTCTTTACTTTCATCCACATTTGGTCTTTCTTGACCTTCTGACGGGGGAACATTATTAGTCTCATTTTCTATTCCATCCAATCTTTTCAATTTTCTTGGCTTAGAATCTTTTGAACCAAGTGGTCTTCCACGCTTTCTGCGTGCCTGAGATTCATTTTCTATGGCCTTATTTCCAGTTGGGATTTCAATACGTGCAGGGGCATTTTCTGCTGGTATATGTGATTTTGTCACCTTCTTTGTGTCTACAAATGCATCAGGCAATTGATTTGCAACACTTTGTAAATGAACAATTTTCTTAACTTCTTGTTCACACATATTTGTTCGTGGGTCTAACATCAACAATTGTGTTGCATTCCAAATAAATTCTATTTCTTTCTTGTGTGGGTCCACTTTCTCTCCCCCTAAGGCTGGGAATACTGTTTCATTAAAGTGACAGTCGGCAAATCTAGCCGTAAATAAGTCACCAGTCAATGGTTCAAGATATTTAATTATAGATGGGGATTCAAACCCGACATAAATTCCCAGCCTTCTTTGTGGACCCATTTTTGTTCGTTGGGGTGGAGCAATAGGAACATATACAGCACAACCAAAGATTTTTAGATGTGAGATACTTGGTTCTCTACCACAAACAAGTTGTAGTGGTGAGAATTTATGATAAGTTGTAGGTCTCAATCTAATTAGTGCTGCTGCATGTATTATAGCATGTCCCCAAGCAGATGATGGTAATTTTGATCTCATTAATAATGGTCTTGCAATCAATTGTAATCTCTTAATTAGTGATTCAGCTAGACCATTTTGTGTATGGACATGAGCTACTGGATGTTCAACATCAATTCCAATTGACATACAATAATCATTAAATGTTTGGGATGTAAATTCCCCAGCATTATCGAGCCTTATTTTCTTTATTGTATGATCTGGGAATTGTGCTCTTAATTTGATAATTTGGGCAAGTAATTTTGCAAAAGCAACATTTCTGCTTGAAAGCAGACTGACATGTGACCATCGTGTGGAAGCATCAATTAAAACCATAAAATATCGAAATGGTCCACATGCCGGATTAATTGGCCCGCAAATATCTCCCTGAATTCTTTCCAAGAATTTTGGAGATTCAATAGCAATTTTGTTCATGGATAGTCTTATTATTAATTTGCCAAGTGAACATGCGGAGCATGTTAATTCATCCGATCGAGGAATTTTGGCATTCCTTATTGTATGTCCAATTGAATTCGCTATTATTCTTTGCATCATCCCAGTTGCTGGATGTCCCAAACGATCATGCCATAAAATAATCAAATGTTTGTCATCTAACTTCTGGTTAGATATCATATTGATTTCCACGGGTCGTATGTTTATACGGTATAACCCCGAAGAGTATGCTGGCAATTTCTCATAAATGTGTTTCTTGCCATATTTTCCTGTCGTAAGGCATAAATACTCCTTTTGACCCGTTGTCATTGTTTCTAAATGATAGCCATTTTGGCGCACATCTTTGAAACTTATGAGATTTCTTCGAGATTTACTCGAGTATAAAGCATTATTGATCATCAATTTTGTTCCATTTGGAAGCATTATACAAGCCTTTCCAGATCCTTCAATTAATTTTGCTGACCCGGAGATAGTGTTTACATTTGCCTGAAACAACTTTAGTTGTGAAAAATATTTCCTATCCTTTAAGATAGTGTGTGTTGTTCCACTGTCCAAAAGGCAATGATATTCGGAACCAACTTCGGGTATATCCATATCTTCATAAAATAAATATGAGATTAGTTTAGAATAATATCATACAAACTTTTATTTATGATAGAAATTAAGAGTACATGACTAATCATTTAAAATACATATCAGAAAATTCATTAAAACGTAGTATATATTACATCAGTAGATGGGTTAATTAAGCATTGTTATTTTCTCCAAAGATGAAATCATTCCCAGTTTCAGCATTGTCCATGAAGAAATCGGACACATCAAGGGTAGGACATGGAGCATTTTCTTCATTAACATAATTTGCTTCTGCATTTTTCTCTTTGCCTTTTACAGAAGCCTGGTAAAGGTCTACCAAATGTTTGGCCGTACGACAAGTACGTCCCCAATGTCCTGTCATGCCACATCTGTAACATGTGTCTTTTCCTTTTGAAAGAGTTTGTTTGTAGCTTCCAGATGACTGTCCCTTCTGTTTTTCAAAATTTTTGAAATTACTGTTTCTTTGAAAATTGTTTCTACCACGTCCTCGGCCTCGTCCGCGATAATTTCCACGGCCTTTTCCACGGCCATTGTAATTTCCACGTCCACCTCTTCGTGCAGCATTTGCCTCGAGTGGATAAGAACTTGTTGCATTTGCCTCATGATGAGTGGCCAAAGACCCAGTTGGTCTGAGATTATGATTTTTCAACAAAAGATCGCTATTTTGTTTCACAACAAGCAATACACTCATTAATTCATTAAACTTCTTAAAACCTCTTTCACGATATTGTTCTTGCAACAGTATGTTGCTTGCATGAAAGGTAGTGAGTGTTTTTTCAATCATTTGTTCATCGGTGACTGGATGATCACATTATCTCAATATAGATACTATCTCATGTATGGTTGAATTGTAATCTATTACAGATTTGAAATCCTGGAACCGTAAATTTGTCCAGTCAAATAATGCCTTAGGAAGGAGCACCCTTTTGTGGTGTCCAAATCTTTCATTAAGGCAGTCCCATAATTCTTTGGGATCTTCAACCATCATGTACTCAGTTTTAAGGCCTTCATGTAAATGATGCCTTAGTAACACTAAGGCCTTTGCCTTTTCTTGTTCGGTAATGGGTTTTTCAACCGTCATTGCAGAAGTGGTAGTATCAGTTGTTTGACCAGGGGGACTTTTATTAACAGTATGCTCCAACCCTTGAGCTTTTAAATTCATCATGGCATCCACTTTCCATTCCAAAAATTACTTTCCAGATAAATCTAGAATGCTAAATTGTCTTTTCACAAGATCTCCCATTTTAACTACAACAAATTACGTGATAATTAGTTTATAATCATACGTATATCACATGTGTTTAATTCTTCCATATTTTTAGTTTGTTAATGAAACACATGATAATTAAAATTTTTTTTAACAATAATAAGACATAAATAAAATAGTTCTTTCTCCCCCCTTGGTTTATTATTGTGAGTAATTATATAACTATGCAAAAAAAATCATATTAGTCGTATAAACAGCAAAACGACAACAACAATAGTAGTAACAATAACTATAATAATAATGGTAATATTATACAATGATGATTTAAAACAACAAAACAACATAATAAAACAAAACATGATTTTAACCGACAAAATAAACAAACTTCACTTGTACATTATGACAAAAATTAATATTGCTACTAACAGAACTACAAGCGCCGTAATTAGGAGAAAATATTGTTTTATTTTCTTTAAATCTTCCTCAAAGGTGAAGGTGTGGGTGTTTTGGATGTTTTGGTCGCCGTCGGGGAACATATTCGAGAAGAAGGGGTGAATAATTTTTGGGTGATTTTTGGATAAAGAGAGGATAAGAGATTTGTGGTGAAAATTGGGGGAAAATCTACCTTTTATAGAGGTAGGTTTATCTGTTACTGTTTTGTACAATTGTAAAAATATCATATAATGGTTTAATGTACTGGCAAAATTATGATTCAAATATAAGTATTTATAATTGTAAAAGGTTATCACACTGGGAATGCAAGTCATAGTGGTTCGAGAGCCCTAATATCTATAAAAGATCATGGGTTCGAAAACGGAAAGAAACACAAAAAGTTCGTAAAAGAAAGAAAAATAATAAGTATAAAAGGTTGCATCTTTTTGTCAATTTAATTAATAATATGCATGCAAAGTTACTACTAATTATAATTACTAAAATTAAATTTTACATAGAAGGTGAGTATGTAATATCAACATGTATGAATCAAACATAAACCAAGATACCAACATAAATAAAACAAGGCAAGATAGTAATAAATTCATAAGTAAGGATATTTTTCACCGTTGTTTTGAGATATAGATATAATAAATGTTTGAGTTTCTGGTATAGAGGATCCCAAAATATGGGCAACTATAGAGCATACTCCTCAAAATATTTAGAAGTAGATAGTATTTATTTGTTATAATTTTGAGAAGTAGGTATAAATATACCTGACTAGTAACTGGTGCTGATAACGTGTTAAGAGGTAACTATGATATTGTATATTTTATGATGATGGAGATGGAAGAGAGCAAAAGAGCAATTAGAGAATGTCGGTTTTTCTTCTTACTCTACTAGTTCACAAGATAGTGAACTTATTTATAGGCAAATATTGCCCATAAAGTATGTTACATAATTATACTTATATACAAATTATTGTCCTAAATATAGCTCATGTGATGAGTTATAAGCCAAACTCATGTGAACTTCATTTGACATTTTCTTAAGAGTTTACTCCTATGCGAAGTATACTAAGTGTATAATTATATATACGGTACCTTTTGCCCTCTTTTCCTCATATATTCCCATATACTCTTCTTCGATCTCCCTCATCTTATTGATAACAAAAATTAAATTAAATTAAATAAAAAAAAACTCCATCTTCAATACTTCTGTCTGCTGCACTCTATTCCTAAGGTTTGTTCTCTCTCTTTCAATTTACTTTTTTTTAATTGTAATTGTCTATTTCTTAATTTTGTTTTTTCTTTTTACAACAGAGTTTATTTTATTTTATTTTCTTATATTTATAATTAGACGAATTCATATTGATATTGCTTTAATTGGTCGGATTTCAAGTTTGATATATTTTTTTCAGAATCAAACGAACTGATGTTGATATTAGTTTAATTGGTTGGATTTAAAGTTTGATTTTTTTTTTTTTTTTTTTTTTGTTCGGAATCAAACGAATTGATATAAGTTTAATTGGTTGGATTTGAAGTTTTTTTTTGTTTTTTTTTTTTTTTAATTTTTGTATACATAATTAGAAGAATTGATTTTTATTTTGTTTGCATTCAGAATTAGACGAACTGAGATTCATTTTTATTTAATCTATTGGATTTGGTGCTTTTTTTTATTTTTTATTCAGAATTACGCAAATTGATAGTGATATAAGTTTAATTTGTTGGATTTGAAGTTTGATATATTATTATTATTATCATTATTATTTTATAATTTGTGCTCAGAATTAGATGAATTGATAATGATAAAAGTTTAATTGGTTATTTCCTTAAAAAAAAAGTTTAATTGGTTGGATTGAAGTTGATATATTTTTAATTTACATTCAGAATTAGACGAACTGATATTGATATTAGGCTTATTGGTTGGATTTGAAGTTTATTTATTTAATTTTTCGACTTTGTAATGGTTTTGACTCTATTCTTAGCAGAGTTTTTCCGCGAATTATTTATTTAAAATTACTGTAAATTGTACGGGGTACTCCATATTTGATTGCAAGTTGTTAGGAGCTGAGAACTAACTACTGATCATTAGTTGGGTTTATCAATTAGACTATATTAATTGGGTTTTTTCTTCTGGAGTTGTATTGTAGCTTCAATTTTTTTGATTATTATGAATATTTAAAGATTGTCACAAATATACATGGATACTGGATAGGTATTGTTTAAAATTGTCAATGCTTCGTATCCCTTAAATGCTTTATTAAATTCTTGTTTTAAATTGTTTCATAAAGTTTTGTTTTTTTGTACTTTAGACAAAGTACAAGATCTTAGGGAAATTCCTGGCAATCCTAATATCAACTTGTATTTCACAAGTGAGTACTATGTTTTAATTGTTCTTATTCTTATTGTTTGTGTTTAATCTTGAAGGTCTGCTTCAAATATTTGGCATGGCAAATTGGAGTGATATCCCACAAGACATTGCTAGAAAGATTGCAACAGAACCATGTCGAATCATTGGAAGATTTCGAAACTCTTTCAGAGGTTTCTTCTAAGTGGAGAGATGCAACAAAGGGTGTCAACTTCTGCCCATCTAAAAACAGACAACACCCTTGGTTAATGCTAGTTGACCCTCCAACCTCTTCATACCGTAGATTTTACAGCCTGTCTAAACGCATGTTTCGAAAATTTGATCTTCCCCGACTAGAAGATGATGACCACCACCGATTTTTTTCTTCCAAGGGGTGGCTTATTTATGTGAGTCGGAGAAACCATAACATCTCCCTTTTTTATCCCGTTTCCGGCAAAGTAATAAAGCCACCAAGTCTTCCACTTAGCATGCTACTACAGAATGAACCGTGGGACGACAGAAGTTATACGTATCACTTTTTCAAATTTATTCTAACAGGGTGGCCATCTTGTTGTGATGATGATATTGCAGTTGCAATGATATTCGACGTAACGCAACGTTTGGCTGTTTGGAAACCTGGGGAACACAAGTGGACTGTTATTCCAACGACGAATGATTGGATTTATGATGTGTGTTTTTTCAAAGGGGAATTCTATGCCATCGATCATTTAGGCAAAATTATAGCCTTCGGAGTCGAGGTAGCAAAGCGACAACCACGAATCGTGGTAAACTTAATTGATCAAGGTGTTTTATTGGAACAATCAACAGGACAGTTGTACCTAGTGGAAGCGGAAAGTACATTATTGGTGATACATAGGTATGTGCATTTACTTGGAGATGATGATGAACTGGAGTGTCCAAAAATAGATGAACCGGATTATTGGACTACTCATTTTGAGATATATGAGTTGGATGTTGACAATGGGAAAGCTAAAAAAGTTGAGGGTGTGGGCGATCGAGCCATCTTCGTCGGCTTAGGATCTTCAACCTTCTCTGTAGATGCATCTTTGGATAAACGTGGTTGTAAGGCTAATTGTATCTATTTTACTGATGACAACGAAGAGGCTTTTAATGATTCTAAGTTGGGAGGAGGAGGAGGAGATATGGGTATATACAACTTAGCCGAAGGGAAAATCATTGAGCGGTTTTATAAAGGTCCATCACAGTTTTGTTTTATTACTCCACCTATTTGGGTGGAACGCCCTCATTATTAGACATAACATCTTAGTAATGTTGTTGATTTAGGGAAAATTTTAATTTATGAACTGTGCAAAATAAAGCATAATCACTAATTTGAAATTTTTATAATACTTTATAGTTATAATGAAGGTATCAATTTATTAAGTTTTGAACAAATTCTTTTGAGCTTTAACCCAGAGAATCAGATGCTCATGATACAAATTAAAGAAAAGAAGATTGGTTTTTCTTATGCTTTCCAAATGAATTTTTGTTCCTCAATAGAGAAATACCATTAATCTCTTACATAACTGTCTTCTTTAGTATGTTATATTGTGACATTTTGATATATTCTTGTTTCTTCATCAGTGATTTGGGTGTTGATAACATAGCAACGTAAAATACATAAAGTGAGAGAGAATTCAAGGGACATATCCTGTAGGCAGCTTCATTTCTGACAAGATAGTAGAATTATACCTCGCTCCTTATATATTGACCAATATTACAATGTTATTGATAAGATATATACACTTATTCATTATATATACTACCTATATCACTACATTTTCATGATTAATGTTCTACATTTTCATATATAACCTACTTCGTATATAATACTACATTTCTTAGGGTTCAGCAGAAATATACAATTCTTATAGCATTTAGCTCTTAGGAAGGTTGTATCATATATAGTTATATGGAATTATGCAGAGAATTTAAAAACAAACTCAGTGACTTGTTGCTCTCAATGCCATTTATTGACTTTGTTTGCTTCACTGACTTCACGCTTATGGCATACACAGTTTTTCTATATATTTTCCTAAGCTAGAAGTCAAAAAAAAAACTTTACATGATCCCCAAGGATGAAAAATCCGATGAGAGATGGGGAGAGTGGGGGGAAAAAAAATCAAAAGAGGTATTTAAAATATACAAAACTATCATTTAGCTTCTTATGTGTTTTTCAGTCTCTGCTAACTGTTTATCATGTACTGCTCATGTCAAGAGTGCCGATTCTGCCCACGACCCCCACGCCAAGGAAAATGATCTGAGCTCAGCTGACATAGCAAGATCAGTGCAGACCTCCAGAAAAGTGCACAAGTGATGCTTCAATGTTTGCTTCACAGGATCAGGATTCAGGCAAAGACTTGCTGTCTCACAAACCGCTTTCAGGTCCTCAAATTCAAAATGCTTCAACTGTTTCTCTGCAATACAGTGCATTACTTCAGGTACCTCAAGCTCAAGATACTTCCTGGCCTGAAACAAGACACTAAATATTAATGCAGGGAATTATTACAATATACAGTCCACAATATTCCAAAGAACATAACGCACATATCATACCCAATCTACCAAGCTTTCAGTGTCTTCAGAGAAGGGTGGTCTGCCACTGACTGTCTCGAGCAGGAATACTCCAAATGCATATACGTTACCCTTTATGTTTAAATGACGTGCCTCAATTGAATTTGGTAGAACACATATATTATCTATGGCAGAAGCAAATTTCTCCAATCTTGCAATGATAGTCTTCCAGCTTACAAAATTAACCAACTGCAAAACAAGTTTCAAGTTTGATATAATAGTTCTTGGATCAATTATCATAATATATCAAGCATATAACCTGATATCCAACCAAAACGAAAAAGATTGCATAGGAAAGAAATTATATATCTTACCTTGGGTGAAAAATCTTCAGTAAGATATACAGCACTACCATTCAGCTCTGATATAGTAAATGCAGGATTAAGTTCTGTATGAAGACATCTCAATACATGGGCAATGCCTATTATGATTTTCATACGCCATGTCCTAGACAGCTGGCAGCCTCTCCATCAGCAAAAATGGCTACAATTTCAATTTAAACACAGCATAAAAAATTATGTCACCTTATGAGTAAGACCGACATGATTAACTGAGAAAGTGGACAATTTACTTACAATGCAGGTGTTCATACAAAGTTCCATAAAACGCATATTCAAACACAAGCATCCTTGTGAAAGGAGTCTCTTGATAATAACCCAGCAGGTTAGCAGTATACTCATGATTTAGCCTTGATTTATCGTTGCACCTTTTGTAAGTAGTTATCAGAGCAGTGTTATACAGAATGCTGGTCCCAGTCACAATTTCTAAAGCCAAAAGCCAAGTAGGTCTCGATCTCCGGTGCTTTGCGTTGGCATTGGAATTTAAATGAGATTTGCCAGATTTAGAAGATCCTGTGATAAGCACAATATAAATCATGGCCCCTCCATATTGAAGCATTATAAATAAATAATGGAATCGTCCACATTCTAAAACCAGAGTTAGCCGCCTTGAAAGGAGGCGCTAAAATTGGTGCATATTTGCATTATTAAATTAAGAGTTTCCCAAAGAACATCATATATATTCAGTGTTTATCTTATATCCTTTTTTTCACTCTTTCCAAAGACTGTGATTTGACTTAGCTAGATGGCCAAAATAATCCTTACTCTAAAAAGGCTTTCAAAGTTCCTATTATTTCACCTTCCTTGGAGCAAAAGAATGGATAGGAAATAGTCTTGATTGGTTAAAGAACGGGAAACAGAACGAGCAGATAATATTCCAGTTTAACTTCTACTTACCACTTTGAGCATCAGAGCGCTGTTTCAAACCCTTGCCCTCAAGACAGTTACCCTGAAAGCTTGCACTGCAGAAGATGTAAAACAAAGTCAGCATTTGCAAGCAAGAGAAATTTACCATGAGAAGTGGGAGGACAGAAGAGCATATCATTTCAAAACCAACCTTGGCAGATGTAGCAAGCATTTCAGGATGCTTCCACCAAAGAAGTTAAATGAGAAATCAGCAACTTTCAGCTGAGGCAAGAGACAACAACCAGTATCATTCCCATTGATTGCATACCTGAAAATTCCAAACCAAATAAATAGCACAGCTCTATAATTGCACATTAATAGAAAGCAAAGAATGATTGTAGGCATTGGATATTCTAGTCTTAAATTACAAAAAGTAAGAAATATGGGAATAAGAGATGTGCAACAGATACAATCTATTCTATCTTCAGGGTACATATATGATGGCATCACTGAACTTATAGCATCTCATGATTTTTAATAGTAATTTGTAATAGTAATTCCAGAGCTACATTTTAGTAAATAAAGCAAAGCGAAAGCAAATATGCTGAAGAAATGTTCATCATTGTCAGCTGACATAAAAGTCCCCAGATTCGTCCCACTCAACAATCAACATTCACCACTGAAAGTTTAAGAATATATGGACTATCCCAAGAGTCCCTATGACCCAATACTCCCTAATCATCATTAGCACAACTTCTAGAAAGCAGTTAAATTTAACTGTTATTGACAACTATTGGTCAATCATAGCTTTCTGTTTAGGTCAACTATAACATGGCTTGATTAAAGAAGCTAAAGGCACATGATCTGCAAGTTTCTCTCTTCTCAAAACATGACCTCAAAAAACAGTGGGATTGTGTAAGATTGAAGCTACTCAGGACTTTATTAACACTGAAAACCTTCGCGATAAACTCAACAGGGCTTCCAAATTCTAGCGAAGAAAAGTATAATTAAGTTCAATCCCTACTGTTTTTTTAATAAGCTTCTAAAACCATTTTTTTAAAAAAATAGACCCACTAGGAGAAAGGATTATGGAGTTTAAAGGGAAGTTGCCAACATGCACTAGAATTACATCATTCTACAATAAATTCTAATATTTTCCATAGACACTCATAGAGGAATAAATTAATTGATGACTCTATGGTCTGAATGAATATCAACTAATTGACAATTAAAGACAAAAGCTTCTACAGTCATAGTCCATACATACAAAGACATAACAAGTGCAAGTTTTGTTTTCAGACTAAGTGCTATTGATGTCAATCAAGAATATTCACTACGAAAAGCAACTTTTATTAAAGGATTAGATTTAAACGACACTTACATTCCATGCATGCTGGGTTTAAAATCTGCAGTGGAAGCACCAGGCACAGTTCCTTGGAGAGACTTCAGATCTCCAAGCTCATGAGATAGCATTCCAGTCAATCCATTTGACTGTAGATTACTGCACATAACAAGCGGCTAAACTAATAAACTAATCAAACAAAAAGGCAACAAACTACAAAAAATGGCGCCAAATTAATTCATACATCATCGTAATGCTACTCAAGTTTCCTGTCTCTTGAGGAATCTGCCCAGATAACTGATTCGCACCGAGAACCAAGATTGTAAGATTCTTCAATAATCCGATTTTAGGTATAATCCCAATCAAATGATAACCGTGAAGAGTTCTGAAAATGAAACTTATTTATCTATTCAATAATTCAAACATAAACCCAATTTCATCAAAAACAAATTCAATAGAAATTATCAAACAAACAACATACGGTTGTAGACCCTATTCAGAAGCAATAAATCCAATCAAAGATAACCCAGAAATATTCCTGAAATACACAGTCATACATTATATTATAATGTAATTTATTGAAATTCCAATTAATCACCATTCATAAATACAAATGAAATTAAATCAACTTACAGTTTCACAGACAATTGAGTTGTTTCTTGAATTATAACAAAAAGAAAAAAAGAAAAAAAAAAAAAAAAACTAAAGTTAGTTGAAACAAATATATCAACATTCAAGAATCAAGATTAACAAAAAAAATTACAAGAATCAAACAAAAAATAACCAAAAGCCCAGAAACTTACCCAATACTCTAATTTATTATGAATTTGCTTACGATTTTGGAGGAGTTGATCCTTCTCGCGAAATCTGGCCTTGCATTGATTACATTCATGTTTGTAATGTCTGTGTCTCTGTTCATTGTGCAACTGCAAGGCTCGTTCAGAACGGAAAGTTTTACCGTTACAAGAGTAGCAAAGCGGCATAATCTCATTTGCAAATTGAAGGGAAAATGGGAATTAGGGTTTGAAAGGAAAATTTACAAAATATGGGAGAAAGTTTCTGAGAAAGATGAGAGACACTTCTGTTTTTGGGTCCGAAAACTACAGGAGAGAAAATCCTTGTTAATATGCCATATTAACATGGAACGTTTTATATGGAGGTGGATATGACAATTCAAATGCGTTAGTAAGGGTAAGGACGTCAACATAGGGGGAATTTGATGAGTCATGAGTGCCATATTTGATGAATTTTTATAGACTTGATCAAGTATGGCCCAGTCCGACCCGGCTCGATTTTGGGCGGGTTTCGGGCAGAATTTTTCGGCCCGAAATTGGGTTGGGCCCGACCCGGTCTGATTTTTTTTGAGCGGGTTTGGAAATGCGTTTTTATGCATATTTAGTTGATTTTTTTGGCCCGACCCGGCCTGAGAAGTGGGCAAATTTTTTTAGCTCCGGCCCGACCCGCCCAATGATCACCTCTAAATTTTTAGGTTGTTTTTACTTTCTATTTATAGTTTTCTTTCTTAATAGATGATTCGTTTTATTCATTTTCTCTTTAATTTCCTTATTCACTCTTATTTTGTGTTTTTGTGGATTTTCTAGTGTTTCTCCTTCTTTTGTTCACTTTTCGTGGTTGTAGTTATTGTATGAGGTTCGAGTCTTGATATTGGTGGAATCAGTGTTATATACCTGGGTGTACGGTACACCCAGGGTATAACCGTCATTTACTCATTTTTTATTGCATGATTACTGGGTTTCATACTTTACTCGTTTTTTTATTCTTCTTCTATAATTTCTCTCTTCCTTTCTTCTTTCTCTCTCTTCCTTCTCTCTCTTCTGATCGTCAATTTCCAGAATTTTTTGATCTACATTTTCAGTCGAATTTCTTTTACTGTCTTCAAATTACGGAGTTCTTTATCTACATTTTTCATATTTTCCTTTGAATTGCGTCTAGTTGTCACAATGGAGGAATCTAGGTAAATTTTCTCTGTATTTTTTTCAATTTTTGTTTGTATTTTTGGTTACATTATGATTAATTTCATGTATTTTTGTTCAATTCTACTTCGAATTAAGTTTCATGTACTTTCGTGTGACTAATTATACTTCGTATAAACTTTTTGTGCTCAATTTTTTCAGAATTTTTTGCTCAACTAAAATTCGTATAAAATTTTGTGCTCAATTTTTATTTTGCTTAATTTTGTATGGAGTATTAATTATTCTTCTTAAGTTTCATATATTTTTGTTTCAATTTCATTAATATGTCATTAATTGCTCTTTTGCTCATTTTTTTGGTGTAATTGTTTTTCTTTTATGTGTGATGAATTGCTCATGTTGCTCAATTTGTTGTATAATTTCTGTTTTATGTTTGCTCATTTTTTCTATGTTTGTTCATTTTTTATTTTTTTTTTGCTCATTTTGTGTTTTTTTGCTCATTTATATTTTTGTTCTCATTTGCATGGTATATTTTTCTCATTTTTTTTTGTTTGTGAGAGTGAGGTGGAGACAATTTCACATGCTCTATTTGATTGTACAGCAATCAGGTATATCTGGTACAATTATGAACATGCTACAGTTATTTGTGAGTTCCCAATGCTGTTGAAAGTGTGCTATCGATTGCTCATTTATATTTTCGTTCATTTTATTTTAGTTCTCATTCATATGTTTGCTCATTTTAATTTTTATTGTTTGCCCAATATACTGGTGGTTCTGATAATGATTATGTTTACCCATTGTATAATAGCCTGTGCTTTTGTGTAACAAAAATGAATAGCATGGGTGGTATACTAGTGCTTTTGCCTAATATACTAGTGTTTTTGTACCAGAAATGATTATTTGCTTATTTGTATTGCAGTAAAGCTCCTGATGTTAATGATTATGCGCAACAAGTTCAGCCACAATGTTCCGATAATCAGACTTTTAACGTAGAATATAAGTTGAAGAGGTTTAAAATATTAACTATGAGGGATAAAGGGAAAAATATTTTGAACAAAAAAAGTAGAAATACAGAAGGTTGTTGGTAAAGGTAAACATAAGGTTGTTGGTAAAGGTAAAGAGAAGGCTAAATCTGATTAATTTCCTAAGAACATCAAAGCTGAAAAGTTTCAAATTTACTGAACTAGTTGTTGTATTTTTGTTTGTTTTTTGTCAAGTTAGTTAATTTTATCTAATCAATGTATATTCATTATTTGTTATGTTCTTTTTTTGCAGTTAACCATCATTGAAAAGCTTCAGATGAAATATTGTCACTCAATCTTATCAAGTAAAGTTAATGGTGCATATTTTGCCAGCCATTGAACTAAAGGAATGTCAAACAAATCTCTAAGGAAGAAAAAAAGCTGAATTTAGTTTTAATTGGAATTCTCTTAAGACTTAGAACTTGTATAAACTTTAGAACTTTTTACATTCTTATTTTAAATCTTATTAGAACAATAGAACTTATAGCATCACTTTGAATGTGTATGGAAGTATGATTAAAATTTGCTCATTTGTCAAATGCTTAAAAATTCTTTGCTCATTTGTCAAATGCTTAATTTTATTTTATTTTTTGCTCATTTGTCATATGCTTATGTTTTGTTCATTTGGTCATGCTAATTTCAGAAGATTTCAGATAAAAAACCAATTTGTTTCACTCTGGATTAACATTTACACAATAAAACATGCTTCTCATGTAGTCATGTTTCGCATCACGTTTTCGATTTAGGTAATGACTATGCATAATGCTACCTCTTAACCTCAAATTAGACACATTCTGAAGTGCATTTGTCAAATGCTTAATTTTTTTTTTTTTTTTGTTTATTTGTCAAATGCTTAAATTTTTTTGCTCATTATTTTCAACTATGCCAAATATCTACTGAATTTATTGTTTAGGCATATCTCATTAAATTTGCTCATTTTGCAAATGGTTAGAATACTTTTTCTCAATTTTCAAATGGTTAGATTACAAGTACTCATTTATACTACAACTCATTGTTAAGACAAAAAAAGATATAACACCTTTGATAAAAAAAGATATAACACTTGGCAATGCAAGTTATCAAATGTATAAGGAAATAAGGTCTAATGATAATATCAATTTGTTACATTATCAAAATCAAAAACTGATATGCATTTAACTTTCTTCTTTCCTAGTGATTAATTGGTACTTGTGGTGACTTCTCTTTTCTTTTTTTTAGCTTCTTCACTTGATGTAGTTTTTTCCTCTAGCAATATTAGTCTTCACTTCAAGGATACTATTCGGACGGTCATTGCTTACATACTTTTGTTTCTTTTCCTTTGGATTAGCTATAATATCTTCATCATTTTCTGTAATTTCTTCATCAGATATGTAAGTGCTTCCAATGGGCTTTCAACTTCTTTTCTAGCTTTGTTAAAAAGCTCTTCAATTGATCTTCTACACTCCACATTGTTGTCAACAACAACCACTAATTTGTGGAATTTTCTTTGGATATGGAGTCTCCAAACAGCTGTAGCAACCATTTCCTTTCTCTCTGGTGGTTTTCCAGTTTCATTTGTAGTCTTAGGCTTTGTCATCCTACATTAACAACATATAAAATTCAGCACATAAAAACAGTAAAATTAAGGAAGCCCTGATTATATGTTGTAAAATGAGCAGAAGCGATGGTATTGTTTAGCATTTATCTTTTATTTAAGGAGTAAAACTGATCCTAACCCTATATACTGTACTTTTTTATTAGTGTAATTACTTATCTGATTAACAATTAACTTCGTATTAGACTAGGAACTCGCTCTCTTCAAATACAATGAAATCTTGCATGGAAATGTTTATCTTATACTGTTATACAGTATAAATTGAGGTAAAATAATTGTGAAACTTGAAAATTTTAGACAATCATACAAGATTAACAGATAAGATTTGTACCGGAATGAGGTAAGTCATTTGGTTCCAACTCTTGAGATTAGCACTAAAATATAAGCTCAAGCAAGCAAAGTCGGTGTAGTAGTTTTTTTTTTTTTTTTGACGGGGAAGTCGGTGTAGTAGTTAGCTTAGTTTTTCTTCAATTTTTTTTTATTATATTAAAAGGGTATGAATCCAACCAATGATGTTTTAGAAGAAATATTTCTGTTACACTGACCTACTTTAATTAGATGCTATTAAGAAAGAAGTCCCCAACAGGCCAGCACTTACCTAATATATGCCATGAAAGATCTTTCGAGGAAATTCATGATTGTCAAATTTAGTTTTTGAGAATGAAAGAGAAGTTAGTTTTAAGACAAATAATAAACAACTCTCTAAAAATAGATATATTTATTCCTTTCTAAATGATAGTACTCTGTATTACTTATTTTATATATGTATAAAACATTATCAATATATTTGAAACATTTTGACGTTTCTGAAAAAAAAAAAAAAAAAAAAAAAAAAAAAAATCTAATATATTCAAACTTCCTACGAGTACACGTATTTAAATCCAAGTACATTGGCACATTGCCTTTGATGACACAAAATTGCACCACAACATCATCATGTGAAATCTGTGGAGGGCTTTAGCTTTTCTTTACTAGTTAAAGTAGTCATTACCATTTTACCAACACCAACAACTTGTACAAATAATACAATGCTTGAGACTAGAGTCCCTCTTGACCCACAAAAAGAGATGGGGTTGTATTGTTAGAGTCCATTACTTTGAGTAACAATGAAGCAAAATCATAGCATTGCTTTAAAATAGCTTAAAAGTTGCTTTAGTTAGTAATACTTCCATTTTCCTCATTTAATTAGGGATACCAACTCCTAGTTCTCCAACTATATTGGATATTTATGTCTTCAAATTCAATCTCTGGATGAAATGGAAAAAAAACAAATTACTCCATACTACAAGTCTACAAGACTAACTAATATAATATTGATTTAATAAAACAAATTTTTTATAAAAATTATTTTAGTTGTATATTGAACTTAGATAAGCCAGATGAACTAAATAGGGGTTCGTTTCAAATTGTTTCTAACATTACATGTAACTCTGATTAATTAAAGTGGATCATCTAATTCATACTATTATAAAATAAAAATTACTAAGTAGGTATTTGTTTAATAAAATATTTTAACTGGTATCATCAAAACTATTATTTGTACTCAATAATATCAATCCACTAGACCACAAGGAAACAGTTTTGGAGAGACTGAGATAATGCAAAGATATCTTCATTAACTTTGGTAATATCAATCTACTAGCAAGATACTCGGTGTACATTCATGGCATCCATAAAACTTTCCTATATATTTTCCTAAGCCAGAAGCCGAAAAAAAAACTTTACATGATCTTCAAGGATGAAAACCCGATGAGAGATGGGGAGAGGGGTGGGGAAAAGAATCGAAGAGGTATCATCAAAACTATAATTTGCTTTACAGTAAGTATGTTAGTTTCAACTATGATCATGTTGACAGTGCCAGTTCTGCCCACGCCAAAGAAGATGATCTGAGCTCAGCTGACATAGAGAGATCAATGCGGCTCTCGAGCAAAGTGCACAAGTCGTGCATCAATGGTCGCTTGACAGGATCAGGATTCAGACAAAGACTTGCTGCCTCACAAACCGCTTTGAGGTCCTCATATTCAAAATGCTTCAATTGTTTCTCTACGATATAGGGCATAACTTCAGCTACCTCAAGGTACTCCCTAGCCTGAAACAAGAAACTAACTATTAATGCAAAGTAATTTAAAATAATTTTCTTTGTTTTTACTAAGTACAGTCCATAATAACTTCAAAGAACAGCAATCCAGGTTTTGTACCCAATCTACCAAGCTTCCTGTGTCTTTGGAGAAGGGTGGTCTGCCACTGACTATCTCGAGCAGGAGTACTCCAAATGCATAAACGTTACCCTTAATGTCTAAATGACGTGCCTCGATTGAACGTGGCAGAACACAGATAGCACCATTACTATCTATAGCAGAAGAATTCTTCTCCGATCTTGCAATGATAGTCTTCCAGCTTTCAAAATCAACCAGCTGCAAGAAACGTTTCAAGTTTGATTCAATAGTTCTTGGATCAATTATCATAATATCAAGCATATCTAAATATGATCTACTCGTTATTAATAATGTTATAAAATATCCAACCAAAATGCAAAGAGTACTTAGGAAAGAAACAAAAAATAGAAGATTATATATTTAACCTTGGGTGAAAAATCTTCAGTAAGATATACAGCACTAGAATTCAGCTCGGATATAGTGAATGGAGGGTTAAGTTCTGTATGAAGATATCTCAATCCACGGGCGATGCCTATTATGATTTTCATACGTCGTGTCCAGGACAGCTGGCAGCCTTCTCCATCAGCAAACATGGCTACAATTTCAATTTCAACACAACATCAATACTTCTATTACTTATGAGTAAGACAGGCACAATTAACTGAGATAGAGGACAATTCACTTACAATGCAGGTGTTCATACAGAGTTCCATTACATGCATATTCAAAAACAAGCATCCTTGTGAAAGGAGGAGTCTCTCGGCAATAACCCAGCAGCTTAGCAGCATTCTCATGATTAAGCCTTGCTAAATCTGCTACCTGATCACGGTATAGTTTAGACAAGTAAGAATCAAAATCTCAAAACTATCAATAAATCAGGGCCAAAACAGCAGCAGTACCTCTCTCTGGAAATAAAGCTCATGATAGCCAGTCCACTGCTCTTCTTTGATGCAGAAGGATATAACTGCAATCTCAGATCCACCTTTCATAGTGCCTTTGTAAATCATACTATCAGAGGAAGATCCAATGATATTGCTAAAATCTTCACAAGCTACTTCAAGGTCTTGTCTGTTGAATCTTTGTATATCTCTCAACAACTCAGAATCTGCTGATGAGATTATTATTGAACAGAAAAATCAGAAGCAAATAATCAGCAAATATAGCTTTTGTCTATGTTAATTAGGAAACAGGAGAGTATAGTTGATAGCGGAAAAAGTTACCAATATATACTGCCAAGCGTTCTTTGTCACTTCCAGATTTCTTCCAAGGGATGATCATAGATGATTTGTTGTTGCACCTTTTGTATGTAGTTATCATAGCAGTGACAAAGAGAATGCCAACCATGGTCCCAGTCACAATTTCTAAAGCTAAAAGCCAAGTAGGTCTCGATCTCCGGTGCTTGGCTTCATCTTCTAAAGACTTGTGCTTTGCGCTGGCATTGGAATTTGAATGAGATTTGGCATTTATAGAAGATCCTGTGATAAGCACAATATAATCATGGCCCCTCCATATTGAAGCATTTAAAAAAATGGAATAATCCATATTCTAATACCAGAGTTAGCCGCCTCAAAAGGAGGCTCATGGTACATATTTGCATTATTAAGACTTAAGAGTGTTTCCAAAAGAACATCAATTCTTACATACTGTTGCTTCTAGCAAAAGCATAAACTGATTTCATAGACATTCATAGTGTTTATCTTATTTCCTTTATTTCACTCATTCCAAAGACAGTAATTGGACTTAGCAAGAAGACCAATATAAATTCTTAATTTAAAAGGCTTTCAAAGTTCCTATTCTTCCACCTTCCTAGTCTTGAATGGATAAAGCAAGAGAAACATATCGAGCAGATAAGTTCCAGTTTAACTTCTACTTACCACATTGTGCATCCGAGCGCTGTTTCAAACCCCTGCCCTCAAGACAGTTACCCTGAAAGCTTGCACTGCAGAAGATGTAAAACAAAATCAGCAATTGCATGCAAGAGGCCATGAGATGTGGGAGCACAGAAGAGAATATCATTTTTAAACCAACCTTGGCAGATGTAGCAAGCATTTTGGGATGCTTCCACCAAAGAAGTTATATGAGAAATCAGCAACTTTTAGCTGAGGCAAGCGACAAAGACCTGTAGCATTCCCATTGGTTGCATACCTGAAAATTCCAGACCAAATCAACAACACAGCTCTAAATTTTGCACATTAAAAGAAAGCATATAATGGTTGTAGGCATTGGATATTCTAGTCTAAAATTTCAAAAGGTAATAATTTGGGATTTAGAGATATGAAACAGATACAATCTATTCTACCTACAGGGTACATGTTATATGGCATCACTGAACTTATAGTATATCAAGATTATTAGCGTTACTAAATTTGTAATAGTACTTCTAAACTACATTTTTGTCGATATAGCAAAGTGAAAGCAAATATGCTGAAGAATGTTAACCCTTGTCAGCTGACATATATAGGTCCCCCGGATGTATCATGCTTACTCAACAATCAACATTCCGCACTGAAAGTTTAAGAATATAAGCACTATCCCAAGAGTCCCTATACTCCCTAATCATCATTAGCACAACTTCTAGAAAGCAGTTGAATGAACTGTTATTGACAACTATTGGTGTCAATCATATGCTTTCTATTTTAAGTCAACTATAACATGGCTTAATTAAAGAAGCCAAAGGCACATGATCTGCAAGTTACTTTTTTCTCAAAACATGACCACAAAAACCAGTGGGATCTTGTAATGATTGAAGCTACTCAAGACTTTATTACTACTAGAATCCTTCTCGATAAACTCAACAGGGCTTCTAAATTCTAGCAAAGAAAAGTATAATTAAGTTCAGTCCCTAGATTTTTTATAAGCTTCTAAAACCATTCTTAAAAAATAGAGCCACCAGGAGAAAGGACTATGGACTTTAAAGGGAAGTTGCCAGCATTCACTAGAACTACATCATCCTGCAAGAAATTCTAATCTTTTCCATAGATACTCTTTGAGGACCGGATTAATTGATGTGCTCTTAACGAATATCAACTAATTGACAATTAAAGACAAAAGCTTCTACATACAAAGACATAACAAGTGCAAATTTTTCTTTTCACACTAAGCAACTATTGAAAGTAATACATGTCAAGCAGATTCACTACAAAAAACAACAACTTTCATCAAAGGATTAGATTTATAGACATTATTTGACAAGCCATAGTTTTCTCTAGAAAATTCATGGTAAAATTTGCTTTGTGTGAACGACACTTACATTCCGTGCATGTTGGGTTTAAAATCCGCTGTGGCAGCACCAGGCACAGTTCCTTGGAGCTTATTTCTGTCCAAGTGAAGCTCCTGAAGAGACTTCAAATCTCCAAGCTCATGAGGTAAAATTCCAGTCAATCCATTTGACTGTAGATTACTGCATATATCAAAGGATTAAACTTAGAAACAAAATCAAACAAAAACAAAACAAACTACAAGTAATGACACCAAATTAATTCATACATCTTCTTAATGCTACTCAAATTTCCTATCTCATGAGGAATCGGCCCAGATAACTGGTTTGCTCCGAGATCCAACGCTGTAAGATTCTTCAACAACCCGATTTCTTTAGGTATTATCCCAATCAAATGATTACCATGAAGAGTTCTGAAAATGACATTACTTCATCAATTCAAACATAAACCCAATTTCATCAAATACAAATTCAACAGTAATTATCAAACAAACAACATACAGTTCTTGTAAGTAATTCAGTAGACCCAATTCAGGGGCAATAAATCCCTTCAAAGATGACCCAGAAATATTCCTGAAATACACAAATCATACATTATATTATACAATAATGATTGAAATTCCATATAATCACAATACATAAGATTATAAATTTATTTAAAATAGCTTACAGCTTAACAACATGATCTTTAGCAATTGAACAAGTAACACCAGACCATTGACAAGGGGTTACATCTAACCCATTCCAATCAGCCAATACCAGATATGGGTCTTCATATATGGCTTCTTTAAAAGCAGTAAGTGCCCAAACTAGAATCCAACAAAAAAATAAATAAAAAAATTAACCACATTTCTAAATCAGGACAAAATTAACACCCCAAATATAGCAAGCAAAATCAAGAAATACCCAGAACAATTAAATAATTTCCCACAAAAATTCAACTAAATCTTGGCAAAAATGATTATAAAATTCGAAGATCTAAGAGAGAATAAAGGATTACCTTCAACAGACACAAATGAGTCGCAAGTTACAGTTAAAGCTCCAAAAATGGTGAATTGAAGCAGAACCCAAGTTAATGCACCCATTTTTTTACTAACCCACTTAATTTGGGGAGCAAATTTTTACAAGAAACACGCCAATTAAAGAACTCATTCAAATAGTAAGAAGAACAGAAAAAAAAAAATGGAGCAAAAACAATGAAACGACAGGAATTTCACTAACTTGGAGAAGTGGGAATTTCGAGGAGAAATTAACAAAAATAAAATTTGACACAAAGTTCAATGAATTATTAGTCACTGAAATTAGAGTAACGGTAAGTAAGTAAGTGAATGAGTAATAATAAAATCAAGAAGAAAAAAAAAAGGAAGAAAATGGAAGAAGTGGGAAGTTAAAAAAGTGATGGAAAATGGCTTAGATTCAAAGTGAGGCTTTGGTTGCTGCTAGGTGAGAGAGAGAATATAGGGTGTTGTTAGGAGAGAGAAAATAAGGAGAAAAAAATTGAATTAATTGGATAAATTAATTAAAGAAATTATTATAAAAAATTTAAAAAAAAATTATAAAAAACAAAAAGGAAAAAGAAAGATGAAGGTGGCAAAAAGATTTTACAGAATGTTTTTGAATGATAGGTTGATGAGATGTTTTAATTCCGCGTTTTTGGTTTCCTTTTTCGTTTTGCGCTTTTTTAAAAAAAAAAATCAAAATAAGGTTTGTTGATGATAATCAAGTGGAGATAGTTTCTAAGAAGACGGTTTGACTAAAACTAATTTTTTTTTTTTTTTTGACAAGTAAAACTAATTAATTTTACTTAACTTGTTTTACTCAAACTTTGATTTCATGTTTAGTAACTACTTTTGATATTGAATAATATGGAGTATAAGTTTCAAGGTTAATTAGTGGTAATTAGAGTTCATCACCTCTAATTAAGTGTATACATAAAAGTTAAATCAGAGTGGACAGAGTTAATCCACTCCAATTAGGTAATACAATAATAAATTTATTGTGGTGTAAGTTTAACTACTTTTTTTGTCATTTACTAAAATTATATCGTCGGTATTTGTGTTGTATTTTAAGATTAGAGATAAATATAAAGAGCAAAACAAATTATTCTGTGATAAACATAAGAGAATCATTGTTGAGAATCTAGGAGATGGAGGGATGGTTAGTCTCTCCATTCCCCCCCCCCCACCCCCGCGTGTGACGGGAGTTCAAACATCGTCCCCCCTTTTGTCATCTCCCCGTGTACCTTACATGTTAAAAAAAAAACATTGTTTAAATAAATTACGTCATATCAGCTAGATTTACATATAAAAAGCTAAAATTGACAAAAATACTATTAATAAGAGTGCGTTCTCGCAAAGATACACAACGAAGTATAATATTTAAGAGTGATTTTGTTATGCATTCCTGAATTAATACTCCACCTTTTTTTTAATGCTAACACTTTCTCTTTTTTTTTTTTTAAAGAAAATTAATTCATTAATAGAAAAGTCATACGACATCTACAATATAAATCAAAACTAGCAAATACAATATAAACTGAATCAAACAATATTCTAATTTGACAAAACTACGATCGTTGTTATCTGGATCTGAAATTTCTAAATGCCCTCTTTCACACCGCTGTTTGATACAGCTTTTCACGAGGGGGTCTTTCGATCTATTGTAGTTTTGGAATCGAACATCATTCAATACAATTGATAATAGATGTAGAATTAACTTCCATGGCGACACAGCACAATCCTCGTCAACAAATCAATTTTTCTTACAAATTAAAAAACATAGCCTCAAAACTCTCAAAAAGAGAGAAAATTAACCCGATATATGGGTAGAATAACTCTCAAATAGAGAGAGTACAATTATTGTGAGCATAAAGTAAAAAACTAGTAAGAAACTAAGAGATTAGGGGTTTATCATCAACCAAAAGGTTGGTGGTAGCCCCTAAAAACACGAATTTTTTTTTTAGTGTTTTTGACGAGGAGGAGAAAAGAGGATTCCTATTAGATATGCTAACACTTATCTTTAGTGAAAATATTTTTACATTATTTTTACCTCTTTGCACTTGGTTGTCACTCCTACACCACTCACACTTTTTTTTGGCAATTAATTAAAGATTTTATTAATCACTATGGAAGTCACACATTTTTTATTTTTTTTTTTGGCAAGACTCACGATTTTGTAATAAATATTGTTCTTCACTCACATCCCTTAGTTTTACATAAACACTTCACCTACTCACTTTCAATATTATAATTAATTCAACTCAATTATATAAAACTTCATGCGGATTAAAGTATTGAATTTGAAAAATGCACTACAAATAAGGGTCGGTAAAGATATTTAAGTGCTTATTTGTAGCTCTAAGTGTGTTCTATTCACCTTATTAAAAAAAAAAAAATAAAATAAAAAAAAAAAAAAAAAAAAAAAAAACAGGTCTTAATAAGTTTAATTAGGTTTAATAAGTTCGATTAGGTATAATAAGTACTAATAAGTTCAATCTAATCTAATTATATTGAATAATATTTTTTCTTAATAATAAGATAATAAATATATGCTAAATGATATATATTATTACAATTATCACTATATGAATATTAAAATTTATTGTTAATTATTATTACAAATTCTACAATTACTTTCTTAAAAAGACAATTGATATAACATTTTAATCTTAGCCGTCCATATTCAACATTGAATCTCAACTATCCGTAATTCATTTTTGTAAAAATATTCAATTAATTAAAATGTACAAGTAATTTTTTATTATGAAACAAATATTTTTGCCAGATTAAGTGTACTATTAACTGTCAATTTAGGCTGTTTTTTGGATTTTTTTTCTTTTTAAAATTATGTGATATGTCATATAATAAAACAAAAATTGGTCAAACTCATTAAAATCAAGATAATTTAGAAAACGAACATTAGAAAGTGGAAATAACTTATCTAGTTTCTTGTTTTGGGTTTTTATTTAAAAAAAAAAAGAAAATTAAAAACAAAAACAATCCCAAACAAGCCATTAATTATGATAAGGATTATCAAATATGGTTTAGATTACACGTGTAAAAACTTGTATATTTTAAACATTCTTTATTAATTACCAAATACGAGTTTTAATTTTTGTAAATTAAGTGTTCGTATAACCTTTTTATATATACAATATACATACTATTATGCAAAGTATTACACATTATTTGATAATTACTAAACTTTAACTACCTAAATTATCTATGTTACTCTTTAAAGGGAACACCCTTTTTTGGTTGAAAATTTTTTCTTTCCAAATATACCCTTTAAAAAACACTTATTTACTACAAAAATATAATCTTTTAAAAAAATAAAGAAAACTGGAAAAAAAAAAAAAAAAAAAACCGCCATGAATCTCTAGAGACTAAACATGGGATTTAAAAAAAAAAAATTACTGAAAACAAATTTGACTGCATAAGCATAACTACCAAAAAATTTGATAAGTATACCCTTTAATTTTATCTTTTTCCTTTCTCATATAGAAGCAAAACCGTCACAATCGCATTAAATTTGGGTGACTTAATTTCTCCTTTATCAAGTATCCATTACATATAAGGTAAATTTACATCTATTGTCTCTACATATCCGGAGTATAACAATGTAAATTCAAAATCAATTCAATTTCTTATTTAATAAAATGCTTACTGATGATTATATTTATGTTGTTTGCTATTTTATTTTTTTTCACTCTCTTTTGGTGTGTTTAGTTATGTTTATTTTTTCCTCTACTTTATTGAATATTTACAAGCAATGAGTTTATACCAAGTCTTAAATTCGATAAATTTGTTGCATTTGATTATGGGTAGTGTATGTTTTCTATCATTCTTTAATAAGGGGTATGCTTAATTATTAGTTTTTGGGGTTTTTTTTATTTAATTATTAGTGTTTTTTCTTAATTTGATTATGAGTACATAATTTCAATCATTGCTCATTGTTATTATTAGTGTTTAATCTATATAATTTTTAATTTTAACTATCATTTTTCTATATATTTATTACTAATGCAATATGTGTTCTTACCTCTTAATTAATGAGATACAAGTTAAAATTATATTATCACTAAGGACATGAATTTGCTCATTGGTATTTGTTGGTGGATTTACACGTGCATGTAAACAACAGTCTTTTAATTAGATGAATTTCCATTTTATTGTGGCTATAAATCTATTCCTTTGTAAATTTGTGATGAGATCATTTTAATTGTTTAAGAATATTTTTAGTGATGCTACTAATCATGTCTATTATTGGTTGGCAGGTGAATGAATTGTTAGACAATTAACACATTGATTCTCGAAGGAATTAGTACCTTGAGATTATGTAGTGACTTTTCTGTTTTGCATAAATAATTACTAACTACAAAGTATTTACGATTATATGGAGACAATGGAGTATATATATATTTTTTTTTTGAAGAATAGACAATGGAGTATATTTTGCTTCAAATCTTAACGTTAATTGATAGGATTAAATTATTAGTTTTGTTTTGTAGTATATGATACTTTTTTAAGCTGTAATATGATTAAACTTTTGTAGATAAAAATTACTACTTAAAATGGTGTTATCAAGCTCAATAAATATACTTTAGCCCCTTTTTTTAGGACTAATTATACTTTGGTTAAATTAAAAAAAAAAAAAGGCGGAAAGAACATTTAGGTGTTTGAAAAAGAACATGTAAGTTTTAAAAAAAGAACATGTTTGTGTTTAACAAAGAACATGCATTACTAAAGAATAAAAAGACATTATAAAAAGAACGTGATAAAAACTTTATTAAAATTTTATGAAAAATTACACATTAACGGAAAAAATCTTTACCAAAGATATCATTTTCCCAAAAATAATTTTTCTCTCTCTAAAAATTAACTTTCCATAATAATTTAGTTTTCTCTCTCTAAAATATTTTCAACTAAGAAAAAACCAAGATTTCATTTTCAAATTAAATTTCAAAATTCAAAATAACATATATTAAAAGAACATAAGTAATAATATAATGAACATATTATTCATACCCGAAGAACACACTGATCAAACTCAAAGAACATACGATAATAAAAAAAATGATATATGATAATTCAATAAAGAATTTGTGCGTCACTCGTTACCTCAAAGAACATACGAGCCAAATTCAAAGAACATACTTTGTATTATTGAAACCCAAAAAACATGTTTAATCAACATATGTTAAATAACATAAGTATAAAAGAACATATTATCAAACATATATGGGTATGTTCTTTGTCAAACATAAGTATGTTCTTGTCAAACACAATATGTTTTTTTATTAAAAAACAGTATGTTCATTCCGCCTTTCGGGTGCACCATACACGTGGTGCACCCGAGTGTACTATCCTATTTTCACTAATTTACAAGTTCTCAAAAAGGAATACGACACTTAAAAATATAGGACATACATCATTTTGATTGAACCCACTTGTCAACAAAGAATTTTAACCATTAGTATAATTAATCGTGTACTTGAAAAAGAAAAGTTGAAAAAATTCATTGAGTTTAATACATTTGTATAAACCCGTACAAAACATTATTTCTTATGCCGCGTCAACTTTTCAGTAACATACATATTTGGTTAAGCGATAGAATTTAATTTTTAAGGGTTTTGAAAGGAATACATAAGTATTTTATGTATAAATCT